TGCGTAACTCAGTTTCCCGAGTTTGCTGGACGGGGTACGCGTGCCTTGCCCTTTTCGGGGCATTGTGCGGTCACATGGGTGACTCCGTTGCACCAAAGGCAGTATCCGTACTTCTGACGTAGGTCATAGACCTCCTTGGTGATCTTATATGCCGTCCATAGCTGTCCAGCTCTCGTCGCTGTCGTCTCTTGTGTCGCCTTGTTCTTTCGAACTGTCTTGGGACGCTTCGGCGGGAGCGCTGTGACAATTCCTCCATCACTCGAGGATGCTGCTGCAGCGTGGTGGTCGTCGGTTTCCGCAGAAATCACGACATTGTTATGTGCCGGACGTTGATAGGCCTGCTTAGCCACATAGTGCGGCTGGGATTGTCTCTCGTTAGCGGCCTTGTCGTCCGTTTGGATGACCAAGTTCGCTCGATCCAGAATGCCCTGGAATGTGGTATAGTCGTACTCATTACCGAGTGCCGACCGCAATCCCGCGCATGATCGCGAGAAGAACTCGGATCGTTGATTTGGGAACGTCAAGTCGAAGCCTGGTATGGTCACTATCTTTTGCCACTTGGTTGTCCAGTCTCGAGTTGGCATGTTCCCCTGAGAGCATGCGTACACCTCATTCATGGCCGCCTTCACGACGTTGCGGACCATGAACCGGGTGAACCATAGCTGCTCGAACTCCTTCCACGTGATGTGCGTGTGGAGTTTGGCGATGGTGCACTTGTGGGTGGCCGCGAGGTGGTTCATCCATGCCTGCGCTCCTCCAATCAGTTGCAAATAGAGTGTGCCTTCAACATGTCGTTCGTCGGGACAGTTTGCTAGGTGGTTCATCCATGTCAAAGCGTCCGACTTGTTGTAGTCGTCGAACTTGCAGTTGTCGAAGTGCGGCATCTTGAACATCTTTGTAGCGGCGTCCGGTCTCGTCTGTAGCTTGGTGATGTCCGTCTTGATGGCGGCCACCGTGCTGCTTATCGTGTCCGGTCCGTTGAAAACACCTATGTCGCCGATGATGGTGACTACGTGATCGATGCGTTCGTTGATTTGCTTCGTCGCGTCCGTCGTGCAGCCTGGCGCTGCTGAGGCCTTGGCCTCAATGTCGTTGATGCGTGCAATGGTAGAGTTCATCAGCTGTTGCTGTTGCTGCTGCTGCATTGCTGCGTCGCGGACGTCGGCCGTTACAGCGGCCAGGTCTTGCTAGTACTGCTGTCGTTGCTGTCGTTCCGCGTGCAGGTGTGCCTGCAGTAGTTTGTTGTTCCGCATTACTCCCCTCATTACGTTCAACATCACGGTAGCCAGGTTACTTCTCTCTGCCTCCGCCTGTGTCGGTTCCGCCTGCGTTTCCGTAGGCACAAAGATCATGCCTTGGAGTATCGTTGTCCACTGATGCTCACTAGCRATCAGGGACTCCGTGCTGGCGGCATTTCGTCTGTTTCGTGCCGTTTCGTCAGTCTCAGCTGTCCGCTGAGCTTCGGCTGGCGCCTCATTGGCCAGCCGCTGACGTTCTGCCTCTGCCGCAGCCTGCTGAGCCCCGGCGGCGGCTACGGCGTCTGTAAATGCCTGTAGCCGCCCACGATAGTCAGCCCAAGGCTCGCTGGCCTCTCTTACCGGGCATGCGGGAAGATCTCCGGTGGTGTCTTGTACTGTCAACGCCATACTTGATGCCGCTGGAGTCGTCCGTGTGCTGAATCTCTTGGGTCTTGGAGGTACCGCAGGGCGGGCACGGACTGCGATCCTGGCACTGCGCCGTGGCAGTGCCCCGGTGTCCTGTTTCGTCGACATCAGTCTGAACTGATGCGGTCCTTGAGAGGTGCCGGTGTTCACAGACTACAGGGGGGGGTAGGTAGAGTGGGAACAGGGGTAGAACAATCAAGCAATATACATACAATCCCCTGTCCCACTGATGGACTGTAGACACCTAATCAAACACGAAAAAATAAATTTCCCGTAGACCCTTCAAAAAAAAAAAAAAAAAAAATTCGTAACAAGGAATTAATAACGATTTAATCAATAAAATTAATTAATGATAATTAACGAAATAATCCGAATGATAATCAGTAAAACAATGTTTGTAATAAAGATAACCAATTAATGATAATCAGTAAAACAATGTTTGTAATAAAGATAACCAATTAATAAACGAATTGAAAGGTATTATGATTAGGTCTCTTTGAGATCACTTTGAGTCCGGGAGTTCACTGTTACTGAGTGAACTACCCGGAAGTTGCAGTTTGAGGGTCAGGTACGGTTTAGTGTGCTAAAAAAAATTTCGGAAAATTTCAGAAGAAAAAACACTCGAATTTTCAAAAACGCGAAGTTTCGGGAATTTCTCAAACAAGGAGAATGAAAAAAAAATTCGCGAAAATTTCGGTCCCAACCCTAATTTTCCGTGTTTCGGCGAAATTTCCGGATTTACGGTCCCAAAACGTTCGAATTTCCCCAAGTTGATCTAAAACCCAAAGATTCTCATAACCCTAATTTCCAATACTAAAGGACAACGGAAATCCAAAAGACAACGAAAAATAGGATTTACAGCAAAAATGCCGAAAACGGAATGCTGAATGGACATCAGAAACTCCGAGTTTCAACATGATACTGATTCAACCCTAATTCGTGTAACCTCAGAAATCCGAAACTTAATCAATTATCGGATTAGTATTACTCGATCAGAACTGAAATAGCAGCATACCGGAAGAAAACAGAAATCCGAATTATAAGTCCGAATACCGATTTGAACGGAAATGCCGAACTAAATAGAATACCGAAAAGAAAAAAAAAATTTGCAACTTTGAACTCGATAGTAATTCAGCGCTGATTGGGAAGATTGAAGAACAATCTAATTCCTAACCAGACTTACCTTTGTGAGCAGATCCGTTTTATGGTCTGCTCCGATACCAAAACTGTTACATACTCCAATGAGTATGGGAAGAACCAAGAATCAACCAATGTAGGATGAGTATAGATGCAACGGAAGTCTGATAAACGGACTGACTCACATAGACTGACTCACATAGCATCACTCCACACACATACAATCGTGAGGTGGTGGGGGTCTGAGCCATACATAGAAGATGCTCAGCCCCGTACACACATACACAGATGAATGGGGGAGGAGAGACGAAGAGGTGGGGGAGGTACACCACCGAAAGTCACCGAGATAGAATCTGATAGGTCACCGATATGGTAGTCCACAATGTCATCCAACAAGATCAAAATGTCGAGGACAATAGGTCACCAATGTCGGGGATACAGAGTCCAAATGTAACCGGTGTCTGAACTGTGATGTCGCCAAGTATCAACCCCAACAATCTCCAAGTCTCCAATCTGGTGAGTACCACGGTCTCATACCACCGAAGTCCAACTCTGATCTCTGTCCAACTAGCATAAGTCTTCCATCTGAAGAAGAAGAAGAAGGAGAAGGAGCCGAGGAGGAGAGAGAGAGAGAGGGGACTGGCGATGGGAGGGAGGAGAGAAGCCTCCAACTCCCAATACCTCAGGCGGCTATGGCCGCCGGTAACCCAGTCGCCGCTGCTGCTGCTCCGCTCGCTGCTGCTGCGCTAATCTGCGTTGCGCTGATCCTCGCTGCTCCTGCGCTAATCTTAGCGCCAGCGCTGTGTCGCGCTGTACCATACCGTACCGGTAGACTGCCGGTAGGTCGATGCCTCCAAGTGAGGTTGTACCGGTACTTTATACCGGTGGGGCAGAGGCCGGCCTCAATGCTGCGAGGCCTGGCCATGCCTTGAACCGTGCAGATGGACGGTTCAGCCCCAACCGGCGGGCGGCAGCCTCAAGAGCGCCGCCAGGCCCAAATGGTAATGTCGTTTGGGCCTGCCCGTCGGGTCTGGTCCAAGGTGAGGCCTTTATGGCCTGTAGTACCCCCATGGTCGGGCCTTTAGGCCCTGATGTGTCCCTCCGGCCCTAAGTCGGGTCCGGTAGGACCCGTGTGCGTCGAAGATGTAACACCAGCCCTTTGAACAAATGCTTACCAGACTGTCTCTAAATATTTCTGGCGGGGACTCGGTGTTGATTCTGGTTGTGATCGTCGTGTTGTCTGCGACGTTAAATAATTTCTGAAGAGTTACGGGGGATCTCTTTAAATGCCTCCTCATCAGCCAGATCAAATCGGGCGTAAGGCTCGTTGCATGCGAGGATAAATAATGTGCAGGGGCTGGCAAGTTCGGCGTTGACTTGGGGCACAGGGGTGGGCCGGATTGCACACCTTTAGACACGCTGCTCCATCAGATGCCTAGGAACGTCGACCGAAAGTGACTACTCAAGAGGGATATAGGGAAAGAGTTGGATTCCGACAACTGTTCGCCGTGGTATTGATTAGATAAACAACCATTCAGCATACATCTCTGCAGGGAGCATTATTTTTATTTTTGATTATTTAGTTGTTACGGACTTGACTAACAACTGACAGACAGCTGCAGATAGAGTAGTATATTCTTTGCTGCAATGCCATCTGTATTAGAGTAATCTAAAAATAGATTTAATATTCCCTGTAGGATCTGACATTGGTTGACACCTAACCACCTAATTGTTTCTGTCTAGGCCGACCGAAGTTTGCGGTGTATCATAATCGGTTGTGTGTTATGCTGAGGTAGGATTCAGTGTGGATTCTAGTTTAGATCACACACACTGTAGCTCATGAGTGATGCAAGCACTAGTGAGGAGGAGTTGTTAGTGGATGACCGTAGGACTACTCGTAGTACTGCTCTCAGTCGACCTTTGACTTTCCTAGAGTTGAGTCCAGGAGAGGAGAGGAGACTGAGGAGAGAGGCTAGAGAGAGAACAGTGCCAAGAAGAGCAAGGGTCGCTGAGGATAGTGCCAGGTCTAGGATTTCAGCTAGCACCTGTACGACCATGGCTACTTCCTCTACCATGTCGCAGGCCTCTTCACAGGCCACTTCGTCAGGGGTTAGTCAGAGTGGTTTTCGGGTTTCCATTAGCCAGAGTGCTGGCTTGCAATTCAGCCAGCAGGCTCAACTCACGCCGGAGGATTATGAGATCCTCGAAGCGGAAGAACTTCAGGATGAGCTACAACGGCAATTGGATGAGGCAGCAGAGAGAAGAAGAAGAGCAATTATGAGAAAAGCTAGACTAGGTAATAGATTGCAGGAGCTAAGCAGATTAGAACCATTAGATGAGTTAACATTTGACCCTGCGATGCGAGCGCTGCATAACTCGCTCCTTTGTGTGGCGGTAGTTCAGCAGGAGGTGTTGGCTGAACTAGTGGCAGGCCAGAAACGAATTCTGGCTGCACTACAGGCTCCTCGTCCAGTGATGAGGCAACCTCAGTTTGCTGTAGCTCCCCCTTCGGGTGCGGGTCCATCAGTGATGTCGTCGCCAGTAGGGCCTTCATTCTCACCTATGTTTGGCATGCCCCCTCCAGGTGGTTATGTGGCGACTAGTGGTCCGGTCCTTAGAGTCTCAACCGTACCATCAACGACAATGGTTACTACAGTCCCACTGTCAAGCAAGGCCCAGGATAGTATACAGCAACCTGTTTTGGTGGCTATGCAGCCACTGCAGCAATCCCCTGGGCCAATGCAGTCTAAGCAGTGGATGCCCAAAATACCCTTGCTGAGTCCTAAGCCCTTCTCCGGCGACAGGAAGAAGGATGAGGACTTGGACACCTGGGTAAGGACGGTGCCTAGCTATGTGAGGCACAAGCTTACCAGGCCGGAGCAAGAAGTTGTAGTGGCTGCCTCCTTTCTAGAAGGGTCAGCAGCCCGCTGGTGGAGAGAGAAGGGGGATTGGTCATTGGTCTTGCTGCTGTACATCTTCTTTTTCTTCTTCTTCTTTCTCTCTTCTTTGGTCTCTATCTCTTTGCAAGTGCATTCATTTCTTTCGCATTTGGGTGGCATTGTCTTTCATTGTGAATTTGCACTTTGGGAATGACCAGGATCGTAACAATTAAAAAGATCCGCTTTGGGAAGAAGCCCCGTGTATTGTCTTTTGCAAAATTCTTGGGTTTGCCTTTTGGAGGACCAGTTTGTAGGAGGCACCTTTCCCCAATGCGCTCCGCTGCCCGACCCTAAAATTAAATTGTCATGCCAACCTTTTCTGTCCTGTAGACATGGTCCACGATTTTGCAGCGGGTTAACCATCGCGTTGGACGAAGATAACTGGGAAAGGCACTGGTGGTTTCAAGTCAACAAGCTGAGAGGGCTGCCATCGCCAATAACTGCAGACAAGCAGTCCCGTGACTCTGTCCGTCTCTCTGTCTGTCTGTCTGTCTGTCTCCATCTGCCTGTC